AGTCAATGGCTGAACGACGTGTGTAGCGTCAGTCTGGCTACCATACAGCACATTCTCTTACTAAATCCAGTAGCAGAAGAAGGTACAGTTTACTAATGCTATTACCCAACTCATATACAGGCCGTATGCTTTATGTGTCTCTCTCGCAGTCATATTTCTGAAGCATTGCATGTTCGGCAATTTATTTGCGCCTGACGCCCCAAAGGCCGCGCATTTTAAGGCCAAAAATAAACACATCCCTAACGGTAGTCCGTCTGACCTATTAGAAGATGACCATCTTCTGCACTCGATTGTGAGTTCCAGATGCCAGCATTCATCTGAGTGTTACTATTTCAGAACTCATCTCAGTGCTACAATTTCGGTCAAAGTAGATGTATAAATGTCCTGCTAGGACAGTTGGGACTATAGATGTAGGAAGCAAAATAGAAATAGGTTAATGTTATTCGTAATTCTGATTTCCCGTAGGGCATTCGTTATATCATTCATGAGGTTGCTTTAGCCATGAGTTTTTCATGCCTTCAAACAAGCCAATCCGAGCTCGGAACTTAACTTAGCAAAGGAACACAGGGGAACGGGCTAACTCGTCTGCTTTTCTGACAGTTTCTCATCACAGCTTATCCTTCACTGCCGATACAAGCGAAAATGCGAGTTCCAGGAACTAGTTGATCAGAAGAAGAAGCGATCGCTGGAACAATGGCTTTATTCGCCTGACGTTTCGGATTCTCTCTTGAATCCATCATCAGAGACAGTTGCAGAAAAGGGTGGCTAGTGTACAGGAAGTCGCAGTATTGATAGGATGCGGTCGCCATGATACCGCATACCTACAGCAATTAACCATGCTCCCTTCCTCAAGGATTGTTGCCCGCTGGTGCGCTAATTGCTTGATGGCCGGCATGCAAGTTGTTAATTGCTGACATCTCATCACCCGTGTTGGATGCTGGCGTGATGATTGCTCGGCCATCTGGCTCACGTGCTTGCGCGCTGCTCGAGTGGTCAATTGCTTTGGCCAATCTATGCCTCAGGACAGAATATGGAGTGGGGATGTCGTTGCACTTGTTGATAGACTGAGGTCCCGTGAACTATGACTCAAGCCACACACGGCTCACACGATTATCCCCTCTCGCGAGAATTTCGGCCTCATCGAACTTGAATGTGTGGCCGGGTCTCGTCGAATGGGCCGCGACCTGAGAGTTGGCGCCATTTCTCCGTACAGCTGCCACGTGTTCGGCGATTCGCGTCCGGAGCAGTCTTCCAGTTTCTCCGACGTAGTTGCTTTGTCCGCAACTGCACCAGATCCGGTAAACGACTCCAGATGTTTCTTGCCGTGGCAGTGGGTTTTTGGTCTCAATACTTGACGCCTCATGGCGGCCTCCGGTCTGTGCACAACTCCAACCCCAAGTGGTGCAAGAAGGCGGCTAACGGCCTCGGAGACGTCCTTGATGTACGGGATCGCTCGCCAGAATTTTGGGTCGGCGCGATTTTGTCGCTCGTCTCGTTTGCGCAGGCACTGGTTGACGAAGTTGCGCGGGTAACCGTTTTCTCGGAAAACCCGTCGAAGATATTGGGATTCGGCAAACTTGTCTTCCGGTTCACTGCAGTGCGTCTTAACACGCCGAAATAGCGTTCTTACGCAACTGCGTTTGTGGCAGATTGGGTGTTTACTGTTGAAGTTCAGAATTTGCGTCGTGTTCGTTGTTTTTCTGAATACTTTGGTCTTTAGGCCACCACAATCTTTGCGACAGACGAGGACATCAAGGAATGCCAGCTGGTTATTCTCTTCCTCCTCCATCGTGAATTGTATGTCCGGGAAGACGGCGTTGAGTTGTTCTTTGAAAGTCAGCACCTGATCCCGTTCGATGACGACGAAGGTATCGTCCACATACCGAGCGCAGAATTTCGGTCTGTGGTGTTGGAAGACCAGCGACTCCAACCGCTGTAGCACCGCCTCGGCGATGAATCCCGAAATCGGCGAGCCCATTGGTGTTCCCTTCACTTGCTCGTAGATTGTTCCGTCAAACGTGAAGTACGTCCTGAGACAGAACTTTAGGAGCTGAAGGACTTGGGCATGTCCGAGACGATTCTCCGTTTCATCGTATTTGTTTCGTAGGAGTAGCTGGACGGTCTCGATTGCCAGATCCTGGGGGATAGAAGTAAAAAGGGACGTGACATCAAAAGATACCATGACCTCATTGGGCAAGAGACTTACTCCTTTAAGCTTCTCCGGAAATTGCGTTGACGAACAGACCGTGGTGTCCGAATCAGCGGTCAGAAATTTGAGGCGCCGAAACAGCCATCTTGCCAGTTCGTACGTTGGAGTGCCTTTGAGCGAAACAATGGGCCGGAGAGGAGCGCCCTCCTTGTGCACCATTGGGAGACCATAGAATCGGGCCAAAGCCGTTTCTTGAGCTCTCGCCATGCGTCGGTCGGTCGCTGTTATTGCACCCGAGTTCTCCAGTGCCAACAGTGTTGCATTAATTTCGCGTGTCAGCGTTTTTATGGGGTTGGTTTCACATGGGACATAGAACTGGCGATCTTCCAGTAGGTTTTTGGCCTTCTGAAGGTAGTCTGTTCTGTCCAGTACGACGGTGGAACGCCCCTTATCCGCGGGCACAATGACGATGTCCTTGTCGACCTTGAGTTCTCTTAGTGCATCGCGTTCGACCTTTGTGAGTGTTTCACGCGGCTTGTCAGTCATAAGGAGGGACGTAACTTGGTGTCGGATAAGGTTCTTCGTCTCCTCTGCCGCTTCCGTCTGAGTAATGACCGATTCCACTGCTGCAATCATGTTGACAGGTTTGGCGTCAGCTGTATTGAATGAGGCTTCGTGCCGTAAAACCTGTGCTTGCTCCTTCGTCAGTTCCTTTGACGACAGGTTGTGTACCAGTGTGCCGCTTCTGGATGACGTTGGATCAGGCAGTTTGTGGAATTTTTTCCCCAGTGCAGCATCGCCTGTCGCTCTCTGCTCGCGGGCTCGTTCAGTCACTTTCTGCTGAAGCAGATTTGTGCCGTTCTCGCCCATGAACTCGCAGCATCTGGCCTTTTCTTGGTCAATTCTCTGACGGTATTTGCGTAGTCTCGCATGGCAATCTTGAAGGAGCACGCGGATCATACGTCTTCCGTGCTGAAATACTGCGCGTCTCGCTAGCTCCGTGTTTACCGGAGGTTTGTATGAAACACACTTCGGCATCTGCGCGTAAGTAGAGGCCTCTCGAAGGGCGAAAGTTTCCCATCGTCGGGCCGATCGGGGCGGTCGCGCCCAAACAAATTGCCGATAAAAGCGAAAATGCGAGTTCCAGGAACTAGTTGAACAGAAGAAGAAGAAGCGATCGCTGGAACAATGGCTTTATTCGCCTGACGTTATCCTTCACTTCCTGTCCTCCTTTTCAGTGCGGATGCTTTTACTCCGGTTTTAGTTACACAGCTACTGAGATAGATCCCACGGCACTGAGTGAGTTATGTAGTGAATCCACGGGACCCAAAATCCTGAGTGTAATGCAGCCACCAAGGCCCCTTTAAGAGTAAAATAAAATAGAAAACACTGGGAGAGTCACATTCTGTACAAAAGTTGCCATATTGTCTACTTCCGGGTCGGGCGCGGAGAGCATGTTTTTAACTGGCTCACGAGATCGTATGAGTGCGTCCCAGCTTTTAACTATTGGCTGAGGTGTTGACTCTTGCAGATGGCTGGCCGTGCGGAGATAGTCATCTGGAGCCCGCATGACGTGACCATTAGGCGGAGGCAAAAAGAAGAATTAGACACATATTCTGCTGCCTCTCCCAAATACCGACCTGAGGGCCATAATTTAAAGAGGTAAAAATAATGAAAAGGTAGCGCCCAGCAGCAAAAATCTGATGGCACGTTTAGTCCAATGCAGTAGATTTCACATTCAAGTTCCTTCCCGAAATTTTGCTGCAATTAGGAAAATTCGAGAAATTAGTAATTTTGCACATTGTTTCGTGCAGTTTTGATATTCTGCATGTAAGGTTCTCTCCCATTGCTGGAATTGGATTTGAAGAAAGGGCTGTTTATTAACTAACACTATGTTTCCTATGAGTGTTACACCTAAAGCTATGATGCTTTGCCGCTGATGTAGAGGGATCCCGTTTTGAGCCACGGAATCTACACCTTTTTTTAAAACTCCTGGAAAGACATGAGAATAAGAACCCCACTCACACGAACTCACACTAAAATCCAGAAAGGACACCTTGGTTGCCCTTGTCTACAACCCTAGTACTAACCCCAGCCTAAAACGTAAACCCAATCCCGCCTTAAACCTGATCTATATCTCTTTGGTATTTAGCACAATGCCACCTGTATTACGCAGGGCTCCGAGTCCTGCGTCCTTCCAACTTCTTTACCGCAAATCTGGTAAATATGACTCCGAAAATAAAATGTTAAAAGGAAGTTTTTTGCAGAATATAGGAATACTGTCGGACAAAATGTGAACGTTTGAAGCTTCTGCACAAAAATCCGCACATGAGATCTTTCGAAAACATCTTGTTTAATATTGCTATATCCTGAATCCTCTACTTCAACTCATTCCCTTTTTTGGAAAAATCTTCTTCTGGAATGACCATTTCTGGCTAATAACTCACCATCGACTAGTCATACCCAACTCCCAGTTTTGCAACCAAGGAGGCTTGTGCCCGTTGACTGTTGGTTAGAAGTTTAATGCCTAACCATTAAACCAGAGCTTGTTTTCCTGCGGTTTGTAATCTCGTATATTCACAATGGCAGATGGACACTAACCAATCGCGTTGCGGGACACACACGTCCAATTGTACCTTGGAGCCTTAAGCTCTCTGGTATTTAGCGCATGGCCACCTGTATTACGTAGGGCTGCAATTCCTGTGTCCTGCCAACTTCTTTACCGCAAATCTGGTAAATATGACTCCGAAAAGAAAATGTTAAAAAGGGATTTGCAGAATATAGGAATACTGTCAGAAGAACGACTCGAATTTGCCAATGGCTTACGGCATTGCCGCAAGCCTGCGGTCTCCTACGGTGCACCAGATGGGCGCGTGTCGACAATGCCAATTCGGAGATCCATCCCACCGGCTGATCCACGGCGTACCAGGCGGAGCCTCGTCTCGACGATGCCGATGCGACGATCCACCACCAACCGGCTGACCATTGGTGTGCCAGACAGAGCCTCGTCACGACGGCGCCGACGCGGTGTTCCATCCGACCAACCGTCCACGGAGTCCGCAGTCACCTGTGCACGCGGCACAACGCGCACAGGGAGTAACCACCCTCACCTGGTTTAGCCCACCGGTCGAGGCGGTTGCCCGGGGTGTGGCCGCTGAGCAGAGCCCAGCTACTTGAAGCCACAGGTGGGAGTTGGGTGCCAGCAAGTGGACGCTAGGCGTAGTCTCACCAGCAAACAAGTGAGCGACCACTACGACCTTCACGTGAACCCACCGCTGACACCCCTACACCCCACACACACACACGCACACACACACACACACGACAGTTCGACCATCGATCTCGATGATGTCCACCGTGTGCCCCACAGCTGCAGCAGCGGTGGTAGCAGGGACGGTGACTTGCGCAGGGGTTTATAGTGCCAGTAGACTTGCGTAGCATCTACCTACACTCTCTCCTCCTCCCCCGCCTGAGCCCGGTGTCAAGACAGAGTCAAGAAGACCGGAGACGAGGAAGGCCGCAGGTGGATGTCTCGGACGGATCCTCGCCTTAGCGCTCCAGTCCGCACCCCCTGCTCCACACACAAATGACCAGGATTTTGACCACAAAACAATGGGGTGCTGGCGGTGGTCTGGTTGTGCGACGAATGCCGACAACAGGGTCCGCCAGCGCACCCCGCAAATGTTGGCATTTTTTATTGCGGACAGATAACGCCTGCCAGAGTCCGATGTGGCCCCCGTGTTGGTCCAGCGCATCTAAAATGTGGCCCGCTGGGAGGGCACAACACACACACACACACAAATACTTTCCCCACATACAAGAGTGTCACAGATCGCTTGAGAAGGTCTCGTGACAACCTGTCTCTTTGCCCATCAGTACGCCACTCAACACAACAAACACAACTGGACAGACTGTGTTGACTGAGTTGGGACGTCAGTCGGCTGACTTCCGTGCTGCGGCGCTCGACGCACCGTCCTCGTTTCAGACTCCTGCCACGCATGCAGCAGGGGAGCCGCATGCAGAAGGAGCCGAGACGCTCACTTTACACTTGCATAGGAGGGGGCAGGTGGGTGCTTGACTCCAAGAGTAGGCGCAAGTGCAAATTCCGCAATTTTAGAAATCTTTACACGAATTCTCATATGTGATGCATAACTCAGATGACGCTACTAGACTTATTATCTTGAAATTTTACCTTGACCAGGTCGTGTGGGATTATAATACCAACTTTTCGCTCAGCTTATTTTTAAGCACCTTTCAAAAGCGCTTATTGCGCAGAAACCCTATGAGTATTTTCATGTTCTCTAAAAAAATGTTCCATAACGTCGGCGGTTCCTCATATGTGATAGGCATTTTGTTTAACATTTATTAACTATACCAGGAGCGGTGTTACTTGGTATCGTTTTTTAACAAATGATAAGAAGAACGTTTGTCGGAAATTTTTTTAATTTTTACTTATTTATGTCATTACCATCGATACAAGTCACTATTGTCCATCAAGGAGCTGGGTTCTCAGTGCCTTCTTTAAAAAAGGAAGTACATTGTGCTCCAAACGATTCTGAGAGCTTAGTTTTTGCATTATTGACATTTTTAAAACTTGACAACAGGCGCCTGCTGTCACGGGCTGACCCTGTTCCGGTAGCCCCAAGTGAAATATGTCCGCCATACACCATCAAAGACATTGCAAGCCTTTCTTGGGGTATGGGCGTGATTTCGGCGTAGAAGCTGGCATCTAACCTGTGAGAAGCCGTTGGTTTTTGAGCTCTTTGTCAACGTCAAAAATCCATTCTCCAGAAGATTAAGATGCGATCACTGGGACAAGAAGTTTATTTGCCTGACGTTTCGGATTCTCACTCGAATCCATCATCAGAGACATTCGCAGATAGAGGTGAAGGTGGCACCAGGAGTGCAGTATTTATAGCACGTGGCTGCCGTGGGACCGTATGCGCACTGCAATTAACAGTTCTCACAATCGCCGCTGGGGTCGTAATTGATGCGGCGGTGGCTTGGCGGTCCGAGTCCGAGTTGTTAGTTGCCGCGATTTCGTCATCCGTGCTGGATGCTAGTGTGACGATTGCTCGGCAAACTGGCTCACTGTCACCGCGATAATTGCTCGCCCGCGCCTTCCCCACGTGACTGATTCTCCTGCCCAGGGAAAATCGCAATACGGAATAGGCCACCGGGAGGTCATTGTGTTTGTTGATGGATTGCGGGCCTGAGAACCATGACTCGAGCAGCTGGCGGCTCACGCGGTTGTCACCACTTGCGAGGATTTCGGCCTCTTGAAATTTGAAAATATGGCCGGGTCCCGTCGAGTGTGCCGCCACCTGAAAGTTAGCGTCTCCCCGCCTTACTGCTGCTGCGAGCTCGGCAAGTCGCGTACGGAGAAATCTCCCAGTTTCTCCGACATAATTGCTTTGTACGCAACTACACCAGATCCGGTAAACGACTCCAGACGTTTCCTGCCATGGCAGCGGGTTTTTTGGCCTCATTACTTGGCGCCTAATGGTTGCTTCCGGCCTGTGTGCAACCCCAACTCCAAGTGGAGTGAGAAGACGACTGACGGCTTCCGAGACGTTCTTCACGTACGGAAGAGCCCGCCAAAATTTAGGGCTAGTTGGATTTGGTCTCTGGTGTCCTTTTCGTATGCATTGGTTGACAAAGTTGCGCGGGTAGCCATTGGCTCTCATTACCCGTCGAAGATATTGTAATTCAGCAACCTTGTCTTCCATTTCACTGCAGTGCGTCTCAACACGCCGGTATAGCGCCCTTACGCAACTGCGTTTGTGAATGATCGGGTGGTTGCTATTGAAGTTCAGTATTTGCATCGTATTTGTCGCTTTCCTGAACACTTTGGTTTTTAGGCCAGCACAATCTTTGCGGCAGACGAGGACATCCAGGAAGGCCAGCTGATTGTTTTCCTCCTCCTCCTCCTCCTCCTCCTCCTCCTCCTCCTCATCCTCCTCCTCCATCGTAAATCGAATGTCCGGGAAGACGGCGTTGAGTTGTTCTTTGAAAGTCAGCACCTGATCCCGTTCGATGACGACGAAGGTGTCATCCACACACCGAGCCCAGAATTTCGGTCTGTGGTGTCGGAAAACCAGCGACTCCAGCCGTTGAAGGACCGCCTCGGCTATGAGTCCCGAAATCGGCGAACCCATTGGCGTTCCCTTCACCTGCTCGTAGATTGTTCCGTCGAATGTAAAGTACGTCTTGAGACAGAACTTCAGGAGCTGGATGATTTGGGCGTGTCCGAGACGATTCTCCGTTTCGTCGTACTTCTCTCGTAGGAGTAGTTCGATTGTCTCGACTGCCAGGTCCTGCGGGATAGAAGTAAAAAGGGAAGTGACATCAAAGGAAACCATGATATCGCTTGGCAGGAGACTTACTCCGTTAAGTTTCTCCAAGAATTGCGTTGACGAGCTGACTGTGGTGTTTGAATCGGAGGTCAGAAACTTGAGACGTTGGAACAGCCACTTTGCCAGTCCGTAGGTTGGAGTGCCCTTTAGTGATACGATAGGCCGGAGAGGAGCGCCCTCCTTGTGCACTTTTGGGAGACCGTAGAATCGGGCTGGGGCCGTTTCTTGTGCTCTCGCCATGCGTCGGTCGATGGGCGATATTGCACCTGAGTTCTCCATTGCCAACAGCGTCGCGTTAATCTCGCGTGTCAGCGTTTTCATGGGGTTGAATTCGCATGGGACATAGGACTGACGATCCTCCAACAAGCTTTTGGCTTTTTGATTGTAGTCTGTCCTGTCCAATACGACCGTTGAACGCCCCTTGTCCGCAGGCACGATAACGAGGTCGTTATCGGCCCTGAGTTCCTTAAGTGCATCGCGCTCGACCTTGGAAAGCACATCGCGCGGCCTATGAGCCATGAGGAGGGAGGACACTTGGTGTCGAATTAGGTTCTTCGTTTCGTCTGTCGCTCCCGTCTGGCTGAGGATTGATTCCACTGCTGCGATCATGTTGGCAGGTTTGGCATCGGCTGTGTTGAATGAGGCCTCATGCCGTAAAACCTGCATTTGTTCCTCCGTCAGCTCCTTTGACGACAAGTTGTGCACCAGTTTGTCGTTCTTGGATGACATTGGAGCAGGCAGCTTACGAAATTTGCTCTCTAGGGCTGCTTCTCGCGTTGCTTTATGTTCGCGGGTTCGTTCGGCCAGCCTCTGCTGAAGCAGTTTTATGCCGTCCTCGCCCATGAACTCGCAGCACCTTGCTTTCTCTTGGTCAATCCTCTGACGGTATTTGCGAATCCGTGAGTGACAGTCTTGAAGGAGCACTCGGATCATTCGTCGGCCGTGCTGAAGTACTGCGCGTCTCGCCAGCTCTGTGTTGACCGGAGGTTTGTATGAAACGCACTTCGGCAGCATATTGTTGTCGAGACACCTGTGCAGAAATCGAATCTGCGCATATGTTGACGACTCTCTCAGGCAAATAAACTTCTTGTCCCAGTGATCGCATCTTCATCTTCTGAACTGCTACCTGGGACTCGCTTGTTCGCTTTTATCAGCAATCCATTCTCCATTGACAATTTCATGAAGAAATAGTTACGCTTCATGTCTGCTTAGCAAAACGTTGCGGATTATGGAACATTGAGCTAGGTTTTCTGCCGAAAACTGGCGTGGGATTCAAATTCCTTGTCTGACAATCTCCTGCACCAATCAAACGTGTTCCTAAACTTTAGGCTATGCGGTACTTAGTGTTTATGATAAGGACTTGAAGGTGCAAGTGGGATCTGACTCAAAAGTTAAAGCTAAAAAATCATTTTGCAGCACCACTGGACTTTCCCGATGATAGGTGTCGGCGATATCAAAATTACACTATCGCAATTCTGCAAACCAACGCTGGCACTTGTGGCTATCTAAAGCTTTTGAATAAACAAGATGAATTGTTTTGCAAGTCGTTGTCGTACTTCTTCCCTTGCAAAGTTCATACAGCATACAGCCAGATTGACTTCGTATTTTACGTCTCTTATTTTGTTTGGTCAGATCTAAAAAAACTAACTTTAGATAAAAATTTTAATTACCAGACCTACCTGATTTACGAACACTGGAGGAGGCATAATCTATTAACAAGTAACATTCGAAGTAAAATCCTAAAAAAGACATCACTTTTCGGAGCCCTCAGCTTTACTATATTTTTAGAATTTTTCCCTAACTTATTCGACTTAAAAGAATGTTTCACATATCTGCTCAACTAAGAGGTCATTCAAAATCTGCCGAAGATCTATGTTAAACCGATCGGATAAGAGCATAAAAAACGCGTAACCTGATTCTTCCGCGATATATTGCCATTAACTGTTAGGAATTTGTCAGAATTAAGAATTGTTACTTTTGAATAAGTTTCAAAACATTATCAAAAGACTATAAGCGCCCTATAAAAGTTGTATTTCTCACTAAAGAATCAAGGTTCGTTCAGCTTGTAAGCACAGAAAATTTTCTACGCATATTCACCATTGTGGTTGCGTAGTGCACTAGTTGCAATAGAGTATTTCACGCACGGAAACCAACACCTTGTCTGACGCGGAAGGAATTACTCACTCAAGACTACCCAGGACTTCGAACGTGTGACAGCAAGGGGTTAAACGGAAAACAAGGCTATAACCACCTGATTGGACACAGGAAATCGAGCCTTTAATGGCGGGTCTGGGAAATATAAATGTAATTACTCAAAAAGCTTCAGGCAGAGCAGCATAAACATGGACCTCTCTTGTGGCGCCAAATGCATCAAATACCTCCTCTTCATATTCAATGCGCTGGTGTTCGTAAGTGTTCTTTCCATTCATCTTCAATAGTCTCTTACAAAAATTCAGTGCATTTAAGCAGATATTAAGCTTTACTTGCCTGTGAATCCATGCTTCTTGTCCTAATCAAGACTTGCAAATTGCCCGGTAAATACTTTCATTATTGACCTCATGTTGAAACATGCACATACTTAAGAAAAACTGGCAGACAGCCAAGGCAATACGAAATCCACAGTGTAGATAGAAGCCACCTCTCCTAGATAATAACTCTCACTCTCAGGGTTGATGAAAGGCTACTGCTCTTACAAGCACCATCATTCGCATTCTGTGCCAGAATCTCCATTTTCCTTCAGTTAGGCATTACGGACCAATGCTTCACTGCTAGTCCTGTAAGAGAACTTTCTATCGGTTATACTATTTTGACATGTTCCCTGAAAGACATATCCGAATTTTGAGTCATAACTGACGGCGTAGCTGTTTTAGCTTACTAAGTAGACTGAAAGTTCTAAAGAAGCCGACGTACAAAACAATTATTGTTGAGAACTGGGAGATGTAGGGAAGTAGGGTTTTGCGTAACTAAAGTGTATCCCCGTCTTTTGCTATGTCAAATTGTTTTGCCAGTCTAGAAGCTCATCCGTGCGTCTTTTGTTAACCAAACGGTTGTAAACTAATGCGTTTTCGGCCAGACACCAAGCTTTGCTTCACTGCCCCTACTTTACGGTGCTAGACAAAGGTAGAGTCTCGCATTCAACAAGAGGATCCAAGAGTATCCTTGTCACGAAATATTCCATAAAACCTTAATGAAGGATGGAGGGTAGTGGGGTTTGACTATGTGCTTGCAAAATAATAACTTGCGAGGAAAACATTCATGTTGACAGCCAACGTGTTTGTTAATTGAGTGGCTTCTTGTGACTCGATTACCAGACCTAGCTGGAAGCAGTTGTTATCCAGATATGTCCTTCTAGCTTTAGATAGACTATTCATGATATAATATGTACGAGATATGGTTGTGATAAGTTGTTTGAGATGTCACCAGAGGGCGCATATTACAACCAAGTCTTCCTTGTATATTGCAGTGATAAGGTGTTGGGCGGGTCAACAAGGGCGTAAGACCAAAACATTGCCTTCTGAAAGTTGAACGGCCAAATCACATAAGAACACCTGTTATGCCGCGTACAGGTCTAAATGGCCATAACTCAAATAAAACAGCAAAAAATATGAGAAGTATGAGTCACAGGTTGGAGTCATAATGGCGCTTTTGTAGAACAGCACTGCTCATCCTAATATCCGACTAAAGTTTGTTTCAAGGCGAATCCATATTCGGATAGTGATAAAAGTCTAGCGTACGAGGAAAATTGCACGTATTTCTTTAAATGGGTATGCTGCATGCCTTGCTTTATTTAGGGGACGAGTTAGAGTGGTATACGGTGTGATTGTTTTGACAGCTGGCGTCGATAAATAGTCACAACAAATTGGAATGAGAATATGAATGGAGCGGAACACGAAATAAGTCTCATAGTACATAGTTTCATAATACATTGGACAGAGGGCGCCATTATAAGGGGAGGTGTGCACGGGACTTCCCAGTCTCTGAAGATGGGTAGACGAATAAACTACTCGAAACGTCGGACCTCAAAGAAACCCCTCCCGTTGAAGGCCCCATTTTCTTTTGATATGCCACCTGGGAATCGCATTTTTACTACTATTGATGAGTCTCAAAGTATATGTGAGTTTAATTAGTTTACTACTTCTTATTGCAGATTTTCGGCGCCGTCATAACTGGATTTGGAATCTACATGGTTGTGCAATCAAGAAATGAGCTTGATGGCCAAGCAATCGCCATCCCAGCCTTCATCCTAACCGTGGGCCTGCTTGTGTTTCTAATAGGGTTCCTGGGCTGTTGCGGAGCCTGCAAGGAGCATGTCTGCATGCTAAAAACTGTAATGCTTTTTTCAATGATTCTCATGAATTTTGCTTAGTTTGCCGTAATTATCATCATTTTGCTGATACTGCAAATAATTGCTGGTATATTAGTCTTTGTCTACAGAAGCAAGGTGAGAATACCCCGTCCTTTGGATATGTTGATTAATCTCACCCAACTTTAAAATAGTTCGTAACGGTGGTAGCAGAGGGCATAGCCTATCAGATAAAGCACCTGGACTCACTTCCCGCAACAGAACAAAAGGAAACCCGAAAGGCGTTTAATAAGCTCCAGCAAAAGGTAGGCTAGTGCATTGTGAGAGCGTTTTTATATCCAGCTCAACTGTTGCGGAGGACACGGTCCCGAGGATTGGGGCACGTCTGTTCCCCCTTCCTGCTGCAAAGGAGAAACTTCACCGTGCAATAAACCATACGAGCAGGTAAGCTAAAACAAGAAAACCGTCCATTTCGTCGTAGGTTTTTGCAATGGTATGCTATTAAATTTTGTGTAATACACAAGCAATCACAAGTATCGACATGCAGTCGAAATTGCAGAATTTCATGCTTATTCTCTCATTTATGGTGTATAGATAACGGTCCTTCAAGCATGCAACGAAGTCTTTACTTCAAACTAATGTATACTACTAGTTGCATGTCGGCTGTTAATGAATATTACGCAGTTACCCGCTGTCACTGATGAATTGCGGTCCCAAATATTCATACCTAAATATCTCGGTCTGAGCCTACAGAACCTGAATAAACTGATCTACTCCGAGTTCGTAGTTAAGTTCTGAGGAAATTTAAAAGCGACAATCGCTAAATTAAATGTCCTTCTAATTTCTGCAACAACTTTTCAAACACATAGTTTAAATGGCAAAACGTTCGACGTCGTTGCTAAGCTTAACAACTCTTAGTTCTCACAGGACGCACGTTTGTACCGTTTTTTTTCTCCAACAGGGCTGCGCAAAAGCCATGTACGAAATGATAAAGGACAAAGCTTTAATCGTCGGAATTGTCATCGTTGTTATGGCGATCATCCAGCTTGGAGCAGTCGTTTCAGCCTGCTGCCTGGCTAAGAAAATTGGCGAGTAAGGAAAGGTCTATGTCCCATCTTCATCATGGTGAATGGAAGACTGCAGTCTGTTCTGGACCTATTACTACATAAATAACAGTCACGCTCTAATCCTGAGCCCGCCTTGATAACCATTGTCATGTTTTGTTTTATTTATTGTCATTCACTATAATAAATTTTCAGCCATTTTACACATTTGCCTAAAAAATAAAATTTCGTGATTGCCTCCTTGTATTCTGCATAAAAGAGCAAGAATGGCCTCTGTTCCAACATTTATAAGCTATCCGTCAAACAAAGTGGCCAGAGAGGGACTATCAGAAGTTTATGCGAATTGCTCGAAAACACCTAAATCTGAGGAATTGGTCGGTGAAAGATGGTTCTGCGGAGGAAATTTCCTATTTTGTTGGAAACCTTTCTACCGATAGGCATCCATGATTTGATCTTTCTAGAGTTTCGCACACGAGGTGGTGATGGATTTGCCACCAATATCCAAGTCGTTGATTGCTGCAATTTTGGCACGTGTTTGGTGAGCATCACCCGTCAGCTCAGACAGAAGAACGTGATTTTAGCAGTTCGCAAACTAAGCCACTGCCATCCCGTACGGGAATTTTGGACACGTCGGGTTTGCAGGGCCGGATGACAGCGGTTTGGTAGTTGATGATCTTCCTACACACTGGTGTGGTCTATTCGGCGGTTTCTACATTCACAACGCATTTGCACTGCTTCCGAATACAGCAGATGCGGTAAACGACACGAGGCGTTTCCAATCACTGCGGCAGAGCCATATGACACCCTCCAACTCCGAGTGCAGCAAGAATGCAGCCGACGGTCTTTTTGACATATTAGGGCTCTCTAAAATTTGTAAGACTGTGTCGTTTGAGCTCGTCGTGTCGACTTTTCATGAAATCCTCGGGTGAATAT